CATATTTATAAAACTCAGTGCCTCTGTGAAAGGTAAGGATGACTGCTGCGTTTGTGGTGCAATCAGAACATTGCGTGTCGTTTTAACGCAAACCAAAGATGCCTTTTAAAAAGCATGTTTACATCCTATTCTTATGCATGCCAGTGCTGTGTGTGAGGTAATTTAAAGTGGTTCTGACAAGTGTCGGCGGCATCTTCATATCCAGTCACATGGGCAGCAAGCCACTCCCACAAAGGTGGTCACACCCACAGAGTAGGTTCGAACAATTTTTGAAACCCACCACTGCCGTGGAGCATTAAATTATGGGGGTGGGTATGCGAGCGCACTCAGTAGTGCGTGCGGGCATGCTTTTGGTACCCAAGGTGAAAACGGTTCGCCATCACTGTTCTAGACCAACCTCCTGCTCAGTGAAAAAAAATCTTACACCATTTCAGACAAAATGGCTGCCCAATCTTTATTTGAAAAATCCCCATTGATGGAGCATCCACAGCTTCAGGAAGCAGGCTTCTCCATTTCTTTTAACTTCCAGCAGGGGATGATGGGAATGTTGGCCTGGGTAGGGAGCCTTGGACATTCTGTGGCCTCTTCCTGTCCATCTTCTAAAGCTTTTCGCTCATCCTCTTAATTAGGGTTTCTCTGCCATTTAGAAGGGAGGGAGAAAAAATTCCCTCTAATTGTATGTGATCCCTGATGAGATCCGTCACCTTTTCTCTTATTCATGGAAGACTGAGCAAGGAACTAGACACATTTCTGAAGCCCCTGGACATCTTAACCCAGTTTGCAACCGAACATTTTTTTCAAGCACATCCTTTCAACCTTAGGGACCAGAACGGTGGTGGGTTGCTGCGGGTACGGCCTGGTACAGCCTTACCAGTAGTGGCCGGGAACAGCTGAAAGTGTACCGGTACAGTGGCTCGTTCGGCCCACCTGCCCGCCCGCGCTCTCTAGGCTGTTTTTATTCCAAAGGCACACTGCGCACATGCGCCCTGACAAGCAGCTGGGTGTCGTGGGGCGGTGGATTGAGCATGCGTGCGCAGCACACATCACGCGGGTGCACAGACAGACTGCAATCTGCGTACCGGTAGCAACGGTAAGAGCAACCCACCACTGGACCAGAAACTTGATTTGTGCTGTTTGTGTTGGGTTCTCAAGCCCTGAATGTGGGATCACACTACTGTTTTTTGTGTGTTGTCAGCAATGACATACAGCTTTGCGACCCTAACTTTGTGCTTTCTGTAGCGTTTTTGCAAACTGTCTTGTTATTTGTTACAAATATTCTATAAGCCAGAGATGGGTGATGTGTCAAGGACCATGTGTAGTTCTTGGCCTAAAGTAATAGAGCTCTTATTTTGAGGGAGCTGATCAGTGTCCTTCTGCAGCTTCCTCCTTGAGAAACAAAAATATTGCCAGAGAGAACAAAAGGTGAGTATCAACATCAGACAAATGTTCCTATCCACTTTTGGCTCCAATTCTTCTCTGCCTGATATAAAATCAGGCAATCAGTTTATTCATTCAATTTGGATAGTACCAGATCCAACAAAGAACTGTTTACACTGGGTGGGTGGGTGGGGACTATTAACCCCAGTACACTTCATCAAAAATGAATCAAGGTTACAACAATAAAGGGGTAATGAAACAATCTTAAAAAGCCCAACTAAATAATACCAATTAAATTTATAATTAAGATACACAAAGTGAAATAAATCAAGGAGAGATGTCGCCATCAATTCAACCCACATTGGCTGGAAAAGTCCCATTGCAAATAGCTCCCCGAACGTTAGAAGGGATGCATGCAGCAAACCTTATTTTCTCATGGGAGAATATTTTACAAGGCTTACAAGACACAAATGAGAAATTGTTTCTGAGAAATTAATCTCCACAAATGGTGGGGAATGCATGGTTCCATACACAGTGGGTGATCCAGTTTAAGGAAGGTGGACCTGACACCCAGCAAGGTGCCAGATCATCAGTGTTTTATAAATAATAACCAGACTTCTGAATTAATCCTGGAAACTGACTGGT